GTGACTATATATTTAAAAAAAAAATGTGAATCTAAATATTACAAGGGGCATACTTCTTACTGCGTGCCGCTTACAAGCGCCGGCCGTTCATGACAAAACTAAAAATGTATTTGTAACACGATTCGAAAGAACGTCCGAAGCGAGATCTCCCGCTAATGGAGTCAGTTTCAAAATGGCGAATGATTACTGGTCCTCAATTGGAAATAACAAGAACCGGAGTCGATGCCTGATCGATAGAGAGAGAGCGCAAACGCTAAGAGAAACAAATACTAATCAAATCATGTTTCCGAGAGGAGCAGAACCTGAAACTCGGCACCCTCCTTAGAGCGGCGACGCATGCAAGTACGGCCAACGCGCGGGTACTGTTCATCCATCAAGCTTGTTCGTCTGCTTAATAGGGGCACTCTATCTTCGGTGTCCGCATCACGCGGCGCTCTCCATCACCATTTTCGCCACTTAATGTGAAATCGAAAGTCGCTTTTCTTTCTGGGGTTCCTTGGGACTTTGAAGGGCGGTAACGAAATTACTCTTCGTAGCAATTGGGACCAGACAAAATATCGGCTCGGATGAAACCAACCCACTAAGTAGTTTCAGGATTAGCGTCCCGTCGGAAAGCGAGATATTCGTTTACTTTGTACTGGCGACGCCCACTCGTGCCTACGTCATCATGCGGTCGTTTTTCTCCCATCTGCTTCTTGCAAACAGGAGAAATTGTCTTTTATGTGACGTTGCGTTCTTTTACACTTCAAGGGGAGCTCAAGTGATTTTTGCAGAAGCTTGTTTTTGATGGCCTATTGTTTGTCGGGCTTTAGTCAATAAAAATGTCCAGTTCTAGATGGCAAGACGTCCCAGTGAACTCACAGCAATAGAAATACTCGGGCACTACTTTCCCTTGCGGAGGCTATCGCCGGGATCTCAGCACCTCCATAAATTTTTGTAAATGAAAATAATTGAGTGGAGATTTCAAACGTTACTAGTACCGCTCTTTTTGGGCGCGTTGTGCACTAAACGTGAAATCCTTGGGCGTAGGAGATGTAAAACTGCAATTGTTTGATAACGCCGTCCGACGGCGCCCCTTTGACTACAATTTTAATAGGGAAATCGGCCCCCCCATCAATGTAATTTCGTGTATTTTTTTTTCTTTTTTCTAAGGATGCTTAGAGCCCGAAGTTGAGTTTTTACTACAAACAGAAGGTCTCAGTATCCGTTTAAGTGCCCATTTAATGAATGATCTCTAGAAGGAATAAACACAACTCATGATGACTTCTAGGGTCCTCTGTTGTAACAAAACGGTTCGTATGATGACTACACCAAGCTAAAAAAAAAACAAAAAACTAATGTTATGGAAGCCAAGAGGCATTTCGTACTCGGCCGTCTCCATCTTGGAAGGCGTAATTTCAGGTATGCGGTAAAACGTCTTTTAGCTCTCGCCATGCCACTGGAAGGTGTTGAAGTTTTAACCGCAATTCTCCGCCATTCTTTTTTCTTTCGATTATATATTCATTTTGTTTAGTTGTTTCGAATTGTGATGTCTCGCTTTTCCTGCACTTATTTTGCCCCGCTTACGTGTGAGCTACATGGCTGGGGACGAGGGTCAACCAGCGCCTCCCCTACTTGAATCTTTCGGTGTTCATGAGATGCACTTATTTAACAACAACCAAGGAGCTTAGACATATTTCTATATATGTATAAGCTCCTTCTTGACCGCGGGCACTGCCTAACCCTCCAAGATAACAAAGCCGAAGTGCTGATTTGTCGGCAACCATCTAAAGAAGGCCAACGCATGTGACACCTGTGCTGCGCAAACGTTGGGCTCAAGCTCTCGTTCAATCAGCGAGAACTGAAACACCACCCGAACGCTGAAGCCACATGTAGTCTCTGCCAACGTTATTAGATCAACTCAGTCGCGGAACTGCGTATAGACGCTGCTTCCCATGAGCAGTACCCCAGCTCCCCAACGCCCCGCCTCCCGTCGTTCGAAGCGCCACCGTTTTGGGGACGGCTGCTATGGGAACTGCCGTGTATTCTATTGATTACATATGTTTTCAAGCACACCGTCTAGATGGCGCTTCACCGTACTCTGTGGAACACGCAGTTTTGAAACGAAACTCAAGATGGCGTTTCGAACGACGGGAGGCGGACTGGAGGGATTGAGGGGGGCCTTTTTACGGGAGTTCCACAACTGAGCTAATCTAGTAACGTTGATCGGTGCCCCGCGTTGGCCTTCTTTAGGTGACGTCAAAAATGTTACCGATGTTGGCATCGCAAATGATCGGCATCCCTCCCCTCTTTTCTTTTGTGAACCGCGTAGCATTTGCGCATGCTCCATCCCCTAGCCACCATCATGGCGAGTTCCATTCGACTCTTTAGCAGCGGCTGTTTCCAGCACGAACCGAGAGAACGGCTAGATTAATAACGTCGATGAAAAACAGGTGGAGATATTTCGAGCCCCCGACAACAAAAAAAGGCAGAAAAAAAAAGGAAAGCGTCCGGTCTTGGCGATGTATCACAACCGGGATTTGATTCATGGCATTGTTCGAGGCCTCCGATCGGTGCGGATTAACATGGCCGCGCGATTCCGCCTTCCATCGCGCTCGGCCGATCGCGCCGAGTGTACGCGATCCCCCGCAGAGCGAATCGCGGCGCTGCGGGCCACACACTGGGATAAACGATCTTGCGTTTTTATTTTTTCTCGACCTCCGCCTTCCACCAATACCACCTCGAAGTCAAGGCCTGCGAATGACGTCATAGTTCGTGGATCCCCGCCCCGCCCCGAGACGCGCAGGCGGCGACGCTAACGCAAGCTAGACACCGATGTGTGGGTCCACTAGTGATGACGTAACGGGGGGAGCTAACGCACAGGCCTTGTCTTCCACGTGGTATGGCTTCCACCAACTGGCGTGCGTCCTACACTCCGTTTTACCTAACGATGGCTACGATGGTACGCAGCGGATGCCACAAGTGACCGGAGCCAATCCAGTGCCACGTGACCTTCGGAGAGGAGCGCAGTGACGCGCGGGTCGAGAAATCACGTGACACGTTCACGGTGGCCTCTATTTGGCTGGGATGGCTCGTGATGTTCGCTGCAGTTCGTCAGACCAACACGCGGCTCTGACGTCACACCTCTGCGGTGGCGCTGTGGTCGCCACTGCGCATGCGCAGAAGCTTCACCTCACCCGAATCTGGTTTACGCGCTTGCGCTGTGCCCACACTTGGTGTGGGCAGACGCCGGCTTGTTTATAAACAGTGTTTTGGTCTTGTAGACCAAAACACTGTTTACAAACAAGCCGTTGTGGCTTTCGCTGATGCGTCTGAAATCGAAGCGCCTTTAACGATTTGATTTGCCTATGGGCCTCGTGGTTTCCGTATTGAAGAGCTTGAAATACGGGGTGATTATGAAAAGAGCCGCTCTCCGTTATAGGGTAGAGCCCTTTGTGTTGCCTGGTGTCTCTATTCAGTAGGGCTTTGCGTGAGTAAAGAAATATTATCGTCGCCATACACCCATCCAAAACACGGTTTGGGCTCGGCGCATGTGCAGTGGTGACGACGCAATTTACTTAGCGCACGTAAATCTTTCGCGTGCGCTATTCTGAAGCTTCATAGTAACGTGCAGAATTTACGCTGGAAGAAATTAATGCTTTGAGGAAACCGGCACTGCTCAACATTTCCGAAATGATTGCTCCGCTCTTCTAAAAAAAAAAGAAAAAAAAAAAACTTCATTTAGATTTGTCACATATTGTGGTACTCTGCGCAGTGTCACGTCTCTTGGAGGCACGTCTCTTTTGCTTCTCTTTATATTTTGTTTTCGTCTTCTTTCTGTGGGCGATTGTTCCTCCGAAACAAAACAATTCGCGATAGACCTACGCGGGTTTGATTGCGGGTGTGTACCCGATCCGTGGACCGCACCAGGAACAGAAACATTTGAGTAACACGAACAGTTGTGTAACAGAAGGTTCAAAATAATGTGGACAAACATGTATGCGTGTATTCACAAACTCAAAACTCATCGAATAAAAAAATAAACACTACAGGCACACAGCAAGACAAGAACGCCGTAGCAATGACGAAGCACTTTTAGATGGCCTATATGATACGCGCAATTTCAATACACTTCAGATGCGACAGAGTCTTGTGTCGTATAGACGAACTCAAGTCCACGTGTCAAAGAACCAACAGACACAAGAATGACCATTTGCCAAATGGTAAGAGGTTCAGCATGCACGCAGGACATCCGAAAGCTAGGACTCTGGTCCGAACGCATGATCCAGTACTGCTCTGTTCGTTATTACGTACACAGGACGACGGGTCAGTACTATCTTGTGTAAGCTGATGTGCCATGTACGATGCAAACAATACTATTGACAGACTATGATGGAACAATGCCATGTGGCGGGGACACAAGCTGGATGCTTTGTCGAAGCATTCATGAACTGCCAAATGTGCGTATATGGGACAATGAGACGCTGAAAATGTGTTCTAAAGCTATTATCTAGACAGCGTGAGCAAATGAGATCTGCTCAGAAGAACAAGAGATCCACAGCAAAAAGTACCAGAAGAGTGCGCATTAAAGACAAGATTCTGCAAAGTATGCTCGTGAGGGGACGTTGCCAGGACTGCGCCTTTAAGACATTCGGACAGTCAATGTGTTGAAAAGGTCACTTATTCTCGAGATAAAAGTCTTCACAGTTCCTAGGCGCAACGTGGTCTGAGGTAACATGCCAGAGACACCGTGTGACGACCCTGTCTGGACAAGGTACAGTAAAACCTTTGCGCTTCGGGCACTCAAAGTATGCGCTTGGACAGTCTGATTGAAAGAGAGAAAGAGGTGTCCCGGCTGAAAAACGTCATACAACAGTCTTTCACTGAGCCTGTCCTGCTTGATGACGTTTGCACCTTGATATGCTATGCTCAGCGCAGAAACATGAACCAAAAAGCGCTGAAGATAAAGCGACACGGACAGATGTCCCCACAGCGAAAACGGACAAGAAACGATCACTCACCTTGCTAATGTCGTCCATGCTGACGCGGCCATTGGTATCACCTCGACTGGACCGCGACGATTTTGAACTGGGACTCTGGACAGACACCACGGAGAAGCATACGTTGAAAAACGGACACACGCAAACGACACCACACAAACAACACACAGCGTCACAAAGCGATAATGTCAGCAAATGTCAGCAAGAACATTCAACAGACAGTCTTGTACTGGTTCTACTTTTATCCTAGTTGAAACAAAAACGAAACTACGCATAGTGTGACATGATCTTATGATCTTTTAAAACAAAGGAAGCACGAGGTACTTGGAAAAGGAAAAACTGCACTTTACTCAACGAAAAAAAAAAAAAAAACGAATAGCGTTTTGTTAAAAGCTTAAAGGGATGGTGAACCGAAATTTGGATTTAAAAAAAAAAACAATGCAGGAGATGTAGGCGGGACGCTACAATCCCTACAATACTACTTGCAAGGCGATATCTCGAATGGACGGCCGTATTTTTGGAAAAAGAGGTCGAGATTGAACCAGGCCGACGAGGCGCGTGACGTCAATATACCGTGTTTCCTCCTTTCTTCGCTTCACTCCTTCAAGGCCGCGAGGCGGAGAAAACGCGAGGCCGTTCCCTCTCCTTCTCGGAGAAACATGACGTCAACATTCCTGCCAAATGCGGCTCCTTTTTTGAAAAATACGGTCATCCGTTCGAGATATCGCTGTATGAGTGGTGTTTTGGTGTTTGTAGCATCCCATTGCACACTTTTACCGCGTGTTTTGTGGAATAAAAATTTCGGTTCAGCATCCCTTTAAAGGGATGCTGAACCGAAATGTGGATTCCACAAGTCGTGCGGCAAAAGCGTGCAGCGGGATACTACAAACATCAAGACATTACTCATGCGATATCTCGAACGGATGACCGTATTTTTTTTTAAAAAAAGAGGGGCATTTGGCAGGAATGTTGACGTCATGTTTCTCCGAGAAGGAGAGGGAACGGCCTCGCGTCTTCTCCACCTCGCCGCCTTGAGGGAGCGAAGCGAAGAGAGGAGGGAACTAGGTAGCTTCACGGTCACGCGCCTCGTCGGCCTGGTTCAATCTCGACCTCCTTTTCATAAAAATACGGCCGTACATTCGAGATATCGCCTTACGAGTAGTGCTGTAGGGATTGTAGCGTCCCGCCTACATCTCCTGCACTGTTTTTTCTGAACTCCAAATTTCGGTTCACCATATCTTTGATCTCCGGCCGTACGTGTAACTAGCGGTTCGATTCAGATGCCAAAAGTTTTATAACTTCTTTTTTTTTCATTCAAAAGTTACAAAGCGATTTACAAAAATTGTTAAACGAAAAAATGACGCAATTCATCTACACGTGATTGCGGACTTCGCTAGTTGGTGCCGTGAATTGATTAACAAAAGGCAGCGCCAAAGTGCCTTCCTATTCTCGCAATGATTTTTCGCTTACACAGAAAAGGCCCAGGCATGAGCGGCACACAAACATCGTTTCTTCGAGGTTCCACTTCGTTTTTAGAGCATCTCTAGTGACGCGAGCAATTCCAGCGAAACAATAAGACCAGTAGCCTCTATCGGATCGTAAAGCACTTGGTAGCGGAGCCAACGCCCAAACACAACGACAGCTACCAGGCAATTGAAAAGGAAGAAAAAAATGATCCGAAACGAAACAAAAAAGAGCAATTTATGAAACTAACTTCCGCGCAGAGAAGTAGCGCCCCCGCCCACGAATCCCCGAGGCACGCACTCGTGACGCCATCGCGAGGGAGATAAGTGGCGCGCATTAATCCACCGGTACCTAATCCGGTCGGCCATTAAGAGCGACACTCCGCTCGATCTCTTCAAGGACGCCCGGCCGACCATAAAAGTGAGTCCGGAGTTCGACGATGTCCCCAACCTGTACTCCGCGCTGCCCCTTACGCTGACAATGCGGTGAAAGCTTCGTGCCCTTTGGACCAGTCACACGTCCATCTTTCATCGCGTGATCACGCTCCCGCCCATATACCCCGCTCACAGAGTGGGGTCGGACAGTTCGGCGTTACGGCGTTACAACTTCGGCGTTACGGCGAAGTTGTAACGCCGAAGTAGCAACGGCGTTACAACTTCCTGTAACGGCGTTACAACTTCCTTCTTGTTCGGCGTTACGGCGTTACAACTTCCTGTAACGATGTAACGCCGAACAAGCACCACCAGAGCTTCGCCCCGATGAACATCATTCACCACGTGGAGATGCGGTTGATTTTGTTACACGGTACCCCCAAAAAGAAGTTACCGATTACAATCACAATTACTCTCGATTAAAAAGTATTCAATTTCATTTCTTGAGAGGAGAGGCGAATGACTGTTACTTGGAAAGCTAACCGTTACTTTAGAATTTCCAAATGGCAGATGTTCTGCCCCCTTTGAAAAGGGGCCTTTTCTATACAGTCCATTATTGAGTAATGATCATCGAATGACAATCTACTCATCTTCTCAATCCACAAAATACCGTCTCCTGCACGAGGACTCGGTTCGAGGATTCCTTGTTAAGAAACTCGTAGAAACGAAACGGCGCCATTAGGAAGCCGAGGGAAAACTAGTAACTTCTTCCGAGTGTTATTCGATTATTATTCAGGTTACTTCGTAATAATAGTACGCAAATTATTACGACAAAAAGTAATCAATTACGGGTAATTCTGAGTACAGTTCAACACTTGTGTCAGGTACGACAGAGAGGCGGCTGATTGGTTCGGCGAGGGAGTAGCTTTCGGCGCACTGTCATCTTAGGAGTGAAGGCACTAAGCGAACACACCCGCCACCCGAGTCGTGCCGCAACGCCCAATCGCCGGCCCGTCACACGTTTGGCTCGCCGACGCTAACCTTGAGCGCCGGTTTCGAGATTTGCGTGTTTTCGTCCACGCATCGCACGACGCCGTGTCAGCGGTAGCTCGGAGTGTGTCGCAAGCCCGCATTACCGTTTTAATGTCCCGCGCCACCCCACAAATAAACACTCGAGGCTGAGCGGGACAACGAGACAGAGCGAACACAAAGAGATTAACTTGGCAGCAGGTTTGTTTTGTATGCTCGTGCGTGCGTGCGTGTGCGTGTGTGTCGCAGTTTGATTGCAATCGCGACGCCAGCGAAAGCTATTTCTTCTTGACCTGTATCACAGTTCCGTGTGTGGATCGTCAGATTATGTGAAGTTTAGATGCTGCAACAAACAAAGCGGCTGTATCCACGTGGAGACGGCTTCGTGCTTTGACCGCTTGGTGCCTCTCCGTGGCGAAGCGCGAAGATCTGGGGAGTGGTGCGGTGTTTATACGTGGCAGCACCAAATAGTCACAGCACCTGGCGACCGAATCACGAGGCTCTGAGAGGCCCGTTCACATGTTTGCGACTTTTTAGGACCGAGTGCCTCAAACCCTCTTAGAGTCTCTGACTAGGAAAGAATACACTGGCTCCGCTGGTGCCATCTACGCGGTGATGCTGGAACTGCATTTTACTAGAGCGAAGTTTGTTTCGCGGTGTTTTGCGAGATCAAATATACGTATCTACGTATGAGAAATGGTCGTTCATAACATTAACAAAAACATTTTTTGTAGTTAAAAAAAAAAAAAAAAGATGCGCGAAAAATCAAACGAATTTGTCAAGTGTTCCACGCTATCCGATAGGTGGCGCCAGTATGTTCTCCGCACGGTCATAAGAAATCGCAAGTATGACCGGGCCTTAAAGGCCGACCCACAGAATCCTCTTCTGCCGAGAAGAAAACCGGTTTAAACTTTCCTTCTCGCTTTCTTTTCTCCTCCTCTCCCCACAGAAGCGGGTCTCTGAGCTACTTCTTGCAGAAAGGAGGAGGGTCCCTCCTTCTCCCATGAAAGGGAGGAATCGAAGAACAGTTCCTTTCCTTTCTGACTATTTGTCAGCCTTTAAGTCCCCAAATACGTGATTCGAAGAGATGCCATGTCTGCTGCCATGTGGTTACCTTACCGCTCAGCGGTAAGGCAACCACATGGAAGCTTTCGGCAACCGAGTATGTTTTCCTCGCCAAGAACAAACACGAATCACCACCAGAACGTGTCATGACGTCACGTGCAAGGCATGTATTGTCTGCTGCAGGTTAAGAATAGAAGGACAAGTTCCTCTCCAAGATGCCCTCCACTCTTCCCACTTTACCAGAGCGAACGCTGGCGAGGAGGCGAGTGGAAGAAGAGGAAACCATCAATCATGGCGAGCAGGGGACTTTGTGGCAGGACCTTGTCCCGCTCTTCTTAACCTACAACGGACTGTGGTATACCACTGTGGTATACCTCTTAAAGGCCGACTTACGGAACCATTTTCCGCAGGGTAGGAAAGTGCTCCCCAACGACCTTCGCTCCCTCCCCTCTCGCACCCCTTCCTCCTCCTCACCTGAAAACGGCGGCTCCGGAAGCTAGTCTCCGTGGAAAGGAGAAGGGGTTTCCTCCTTTCTGGGTGGCAAGGAGGAAACCTCTTCTTCCGCGCAAAATGGTTTTGTAGGTCGGCCTTTAACGCAGTCACGGACTGAAGGGCGATTCATACACTCGCGTCAAGTTGTGACTGAGTGTGAGGGTTGCTATGACAACTGCTGCGTCGGCTCCATAGATTTATTACAATAAACGCTAGAGGCTCAGCTGGCGCTAGTGTCTATGGGACTTCCGGTTGCAAATTGAAGCAGACAGCATGCAGTCTACTTTTCCAGTCTTCCTGTGTATTCCTATGGGAAAACGCGCGTGAATTTTGTCTCGTCGCCGGAAAGTAACATTAATAACTTTTGTTACTTCGTTTGTATTGGGTAGTATGTACCTTTACTGATATTGTGAAAGTGTAATTGCTTTAGTTACAGCATTTTTCCTTTACCACTGAACGATTCTAAACTTCGCTATATTTCAGGCCCAAACCTCTGTTCCATGGCAGGTATGTAGAAACGAGCGATGATTCTAAGCAAAATAACGATTGAAAGGAATGTAGAGTGTGTTCAAAGTTAGCCAGCATTCCGTTGGTGCTTATACATTGCTAATATGCCTGTCCTCTCACTATATGAAAATGACCCCGTCGTGTATCTCTACGAGCGGTTAAAAGAAA